ACCGACACACGCACGCTCGCACACAGACAGGCACACACACACAAACACACACACAAACACACACACACATACACACACGCACATACATCGCTGTTCTTAGTTTCAATACAGAATAGCCTCAACTGCAGGTATAATTATAATAGACCCAACAAATAAAGAGAGATAGCAGATAGACCTCTATAATAGTAGTGTAGCTCGCAGAAGACTTCAGTCTGATTCCCGTGTGGGGAGAATTTCGATCGAGTATCTTCGTCTTACAGGATGCCCCTGACAGGCAGAGTCGAAACCCGCCACCTGAATATATAAATCTGAATTATGTCTATGGGTACGTAAATGGCTGGTGTCTCTATAAATAAATCATTGATGGTCAAGGTGGGTACGTAAAAACAATTTCAGTAAAGTAAAAAAGACAACGATGACGAAAACAAACTTAAGAAAGGCTACAGTGACATATTGTGACATCGCTTTATTAATGACAATTATTTTCATCTCTCAGTTACAGTTGACGTCTTGGTTATGTACAGCGGAGGTGATCACTCACTCACTCACTCACTCACCCACTCACTCACTCACTCACTCACTCACTTACTCACTCACTCACTCATTCACTTACTCACTCACTCACTCAAAGTCGGAAAACCGGAGTCACGGTGTAGCGATTATTCCAATGCACTCTGCTCATTTGATAAATTTGATTACTTTGATCATGTCGAGGTCGGCCAAGATTGTCCTTCACAGAGCGGTAAAAGAAGCCATTTTGGCGCTGTTTTATTCAAATCTCATAAACCGACCATGTATGATTTTTGAAGATTTTGATTTGATCAAATTGTGCCAAAAATGGTAGCTTTTTGTTGGAGGAATATTTGGCTGACTGGCCCGTGTGTTGTGGACTATGAGGCATTTTGCAGAAGACCCGAGTTCGATTCATTTGTGTGTGGAATTTTCATCGATCCTTGTGTTGGGATTTATCTCTCTCAGCTTGGTTTAGCCGCAACAGGCAGGGTCGAATAACTCTTCATAAATGATCTACATTGTATTGATTGGTGACCGGGGGTTGGAGGGGGGGGGGGATTAAATTACCAATAATAATTTTAAAAAGAAAGTTTTAAGTTTGGTCATGCCGGTTGCCGCAAATGTGCAGATCCTGCTAAATAGGACAAGGTGACGTCTGTAGTCTAGTACTAGATTTAGTAGTTATACGGGGTGCCCATTTCGAATGTTATTTTTTTTTATTTATAATTTCGCTTTGCCCTTGTGTCGAAAATGGATGTTTAATTTGCAGGTCCCGCCTATTGAATACCTTAACCATTTGAATGTTGTTGTTAGCGATCCAGTAGCATCTGAGCGTTAACTCTTCTGCATGATGCCATTCGGTAATAGTTGCATATTTGTTCTAACTGTTG